GCTCTACGGTCCGTCACAACATGGTAATAGTCCAAAGTCATAGCCTACTTTGTATAGTACACCCTATAGGCATTAGAGAACTACCAGATATAGGAGACAAGGTAGAGTCTGGTAAGAGCAAGTAGGAAGTAAGGGGTAAAGCTAGGTATATGCTAGAAGATGACATAGTTGCTTTCTATATAGGTGACAAAGCCCGTTCCTTGTTATCGTCTCTACAATATCTATCGACTAAGAACTGATGCCTTGCTTCTACTATAATATTGAAGGTCTTATCCCTTCTAAATCTGTCTAAATTTGCCTTGCCTACATATGGTATTATCGGCAATACCAAAGGAATAGGCGGTTAATCAAGGTATTATGCTGATATGGTAAAGCTATGCTGTTTTCCCAGGAACAGATATTGTATAGGGATTAGGGGCTTTGCTAAGTATTGCTTACTTAGCTTGAATATATGGTATAAGACGGATAAGGTCTATAGGTAGAAGTTGCTTAGAGGGTTAGATTACTATGAAAGACAGATTTAAAGGTCTGAGAGAAGAGGCCGCTCGGTTTCGTTGGGTTCAAGAGAAATGTGTCGTGCCAGCTCCGCTATACATAGGAGAGAAATGCGTAAAATGCCAATCAAAGGGTCCACCATGCCAGGTGCCGGACTCGAAAGGAGCATAGAGAACCTTATTTCTTTTATTATCCTTTCATCAAGGATGGCTACTATGCCTTGTCTAAGACTATAACCAGAGAGTAGGTATACGTTAGCTAGATATCAAGCTCACCGCGTGTGTAGGACTGGCTCAGGTTAGAAGATGCAGAAGGCGACCCCTCGTTCCAGATGCAGCTACGTTCTCTGGCCAAGCTATAACAACGCCCCCTCGCCATAGTTGTGCCGCCGCCGCATCTCCTTGCCAAAGAAGGCGGCGTTGTCTAGGCCGGGTGCGCCCGTCAACCGGTAGAAGCTTTTGACCGTCCCGAACCAGCCACCGGGCCCGGGCATGCCCACCCAGGTCTAGGCCGGGTAGGATGGCGAGGAAGACGTTGTAAAGCGAAACCGAAAAAAGCCGAGTCCGGATTATGGTCTACGCTTCTTTCCGGCAGATATGCTATAGTGGTTCACCCAATTTGGCTGCCACGGCGTAGAGGACAGTCACGGTGATGGGCACCCGGGGATGAGCGCAGAGATTGGGGGCGTCGAGGGGCTCGAGGTCGCAGCCGGCGGTGGGAGAAACACAGGCTCGGAGCTGGGCGGGGAGATAGGACCGAGAGGATAGGGAGGAGAGGCGAGCCGAAGAGCGTTTTTGGACGCTCCGTAGGTTGATACTTCTACGCGTCTACTTAGAATAAGTGATTCTATTATCTAGACCATGTCTATACGAGATGGCCGAAGTATGCTTGTGATTGTGCCCTGGGGGGTCTGAACACGATCGACAATCGCGAAACCAAGCTTTGTATACAGCCGAACCCTTCCAGTGCTGCGAGAACATATACAAATCTTCTGTGTTGAATCCGTCTCTTCGCTATTCCGCCGCATCTGTCGCTCGTGACAAGATTGAGTAGCCCCGACAGACACAGGAGTTTCACTAATGCGTCTATTTTGCTGCTTGGGCTGCCGTACTTCTCAAGCCTACCGTGCTCGCGCAGCACTCTCTGCTGCTCCCGCCGTTGCAACCCGGCTCCGAGTGCGGGAGCCAAAAGCCAGGATCCCGGAGTCGCGACGGCCACAGCAGAAGAGACGGGAAGCAGAATTGGCCACGTAAAGGCGACCCTCCATCGCCGGGCTGTCGAGGACATCTTCTTGTACCCCGCGCCCGACCCTTTCGCAGAGACAAATGGCAGCGCGGCGAGCCCTATCGAGCTCCCGTCTCCAGAGAGGCGACCTCTCTTTGGTCTCGATCCTGCCTCGGTTCTCCTGCACGAGAGGCGGGGCAGAAGTTCTGGTCGTTCCAGTGGCGCCCTCGCGAGGTATGTGTGGAACAGCTCCCCATGAGGTATGTTAGATTGTTAGGCAGGATACGCTCGATTCAGAGACGTCTCCTCTCAACATCTTGGTTGGCAGAAAGAGGCGGCCTCTTGAGACTACTCTCCCTCTTGCTCGGCGATAATACTCCGATAGCGCGGTCTAGATGCCCCCCCTTCGACAATGCCGCGGCGATCACGATCCTCTTCCTCGTCGCGGCAGCATCCTTCAGCTCGGTCGAATGTTCCAAGCACCAGAGAAGCAAGTTTCCCAATGCATCCGCATCGCCTTCGTAGTCGGGGGCGACGTCTCCCATATCAATCAAGAGCAATCTCGCAATCTGTAGAGCTGGCTGCGCGAGGACGACGTTCCAATGACAGATATCCCCATGGACGATGCCGCATCTCGAGAGCTTCTGTATACCGCAGACGAGATCCAGAAGTTGTTCCTCGTTGATAGGTAGATCAGTCGTGGTTGATGAGGAGTCTGTCGCGGGAGAAGTCGAGGTCGTAGGTCCGAGCCTATCGGAGTCGGCGGTCGGTGTACCTAACAGGTCGAGACTGCGACCTACGTAAGGCATAAGAAATCCGGCAACCTGATGGTTATGATGTTTGGTATCTTCATCATGCAGATGATCCTCATCGGCAGGCCGGCTCGAGACGATCCAGTTGCTTGTCTCGTCATGCAAGACTACGGCGAGGATAGGCACGACGTTAAACAGGCTCTCCATCACGTAGTCTGGATCCTTGGAGGCGCTTCCCGGATCTCTCTCGATGCACCGGATGATGGCTTCCCTAGTATGAATCTCGTTCTCGTGCGATTCGACATCGCAGTCGAACTCGATGCGCTTGAAGACACATTTTCTATCATACCAGAGACAATAGTCGGCGCCTCGGCTAAGATATGTCTTCTCGCGTAGTTGCTTAAACCTGGTTGTCGGAAGTTTATCGGAAGGCTTATATCCATAGCTGAATCTCTCCAGAATTGGCCTACGGACTAAGGCTTCCTCGGAGAGCTCGAAAGCGACCGGGAAGCCGCTCGAGTTCGTGTTGATCGTGTTCCAGGGAGGAAGAGCGGCTATCGAGCGGTAGTATGCCTCGATATGCTTCTCGACTGTGGAGCTGAGCCACTCGTCGTCAGGTATCTTATCTAGTCGCGTATCGTGGTGCCAGTCGGCATCCAGTACTATCGGATCTCCAACGTTGAGCTGGTACCATCGGCGATTAGCCAAGTCGTAAGCTGTTGCAGAGCAACAGACGCCGGGCGTGATGAGGTTCGAGTAGACCTCGACCACAGGCTTGTGCCAAATTCGGTTTGCTTCCATACCGAGTTTATGGGGCTGGGCGACGTACAAAGCAATTGACAGGGCAGCTGGGAAATGAGAATTAGGCCGGTATGAGTCTTGCAATAAAGATGATAGCAAACTTTTGGGGATGTGTACAATCACTCAACTTGTTGGATATCTGGTCGAGATAATCTTGAGTAGGGTAGAGTTGATGGTAATTCCCGGTTCGGAGTACCGATACACTAATTGTAGGAGTGTGGGGATCGAGAAGCGCGCGCACGCAGCGCGAGCCTGCAGGAGCCAATGAATGGAGTCGTTGGTCTGGCTTGAAACGTCGAAGTGACGATGCAAAATACCAACGACATCTTATATATATTAGACCTGTTATCTAATGTTCTGCGGCTATATTTATAGATACTCTTCTTTATAATTCACCTTATAAGATACTTATCTCCTTAATATTAGTTAGACGATAAGCATCTTTATACCTAAAAATAATTATACTTTAACATCTAGAGAGTCGTTGGTCTGCGTTGAAACATCGAAATGACGATACAAAACACCAACGACATTCCTTTCAATTAGATAGTGGGTGCTTCAGAGTCTCCCGAATCTGGCTGTCATGTTTTATATAGTAGCTGCAGCATCACGTTCGATTGGCTATGGCTACCCGCTGGCAATTATATATCGCCAGGTGAACCTGTTGACTGGACCATAGCTTTGGCATAAAGACAACTGTATTCGTCTACTGGAACCAAAGCTCACTTCCCAGCATATCAAGGGTATCTTCGTTTACTTTGCGAATTTTATCTAAGCCTTAAGACCCACCGCTGGTCCTGATCACGAGAACGGTTCACAAAATGCCTCCCCAAGTCCAAGTCGTCAGTACTATGGCCTTTCGAGCCAATATCCTCACTTACCCCACTCGTGTACGTCTCGACGAGCACGATACCCATCCGTACGCATGGAGGCAGTGGTATTTCTACTCCAACCGCTGCAGCGATGTCTCTATCAAGTCTTGCTGGTGAAATGCGGCCGTCGCAGAACAGCCAGGGGTGTCAATACGGCATATTGCAGGGGAAAGTCGCAGCAAGCCCTGGTTTCCCATATTCGGGTTAATACGCTCTGTCCTACTCAGCATCCTCACCCTTAATAGGCTCGGTCAAAGGCTAGTAAGCTCAATCCAAGGCTAGAATTTCTCCTGAGCTTGGGGCACATTTGCTCTTGTTATGGCTAACAGTTACCTAGGTACAGATTTAGAGCTTCCGAAGCCACACATATCGACGCTATCGAGGCTTCGTTGATTCGAGGGGATAACCACAACGAACAGTGCATACGGCGGCAGTGGATCTGGCAATGGATGATGAGCGACCTGAGTAGTGGATGGGGCGGGCGTGGATGGGATAGAGGTGGCAGTGGGATGAATGACAAGAATGGTAGATGGGGTGGATGGGGCGGGTGTATCTAGACGAAGATCTATTGAGACTCCGGAGGCTCAGCTCTACTGCAAGACCCGAAGCGGTCATATCTTAAAAAAGCAAGTCATTTTAATATCTTTAGTCCAAGTGAAATCCAACATATAATCGAACCGGGTCACAGCTATAGTTTCTATATATAGATTATTATCCTTATTAGCTCGACCTAGCATATAGTCAGATTCGTTATCTGAGTCGACCATTCTAGCCTGATTAGCAACGCTTTATTCCTCTATTATCTCTCTATCCCCTTCCTACTGGTAATCTCAAAGCTTTTTTGATCTTTCCCCAGCTCTTCTCGTGCTTCATAGGAGGTAGCATAGTCTGACATCAGAATAGCTCACCATATATTATCGACAGCGGAAGGAGGATCCCGCTGACAAGAAAGGAGCTTCAGAAGCGCAAATGTTCGACAGCGGTCATCGAGACATGATCGTCCTCCGACGCACCGGCGCAAGCCTCCTTAATATAGCCCGCTTTATAGTATAGCATTAGGAGTAGCGGCTCAGACTCTTCCCCAAAGTCGACGGTGCGTATCGCGTCGGGCTGGCGTCTATCTCTTGGATGGGTAGCTGTCTGTAGATGTGTAGGCAGACGGACGGAAAGGGACCGCTTACGTAGGGGTTGTCCCTCATGATGTTAGCCTCGTTCTTCACCATCTTGAGCCGAGCAGCGCGCTCGCAGTCGGCATCGGGCTTCCTCTTGCTCTTGGTCGAGGCCGTGCGCTCGGGGGCGGATGGGGGAACCGCTCGGAGGTGTACCGTCTTGCCGTCGCGCGGCGTGATAACCCTGCGGGCTTCGTCGGAGACGCCGTGCCCGACGAGGCCGTCGTCGCGGTAGATGGGTCGGTGGAGAGACGTGATTCGTAGCGACACTGGTTGGTCTCCTGCGAGAACCGAAATACATTGCCATTTACAATCGCACTGCAGCCCATGCACAAACTTTGGTGAATCACTTTGGTAGGATTCAGGTGTCCCGAGGCTCCAATGCGGGAGTCTTCGTAGGTACGTTGACAAAGGGTTCATCGCTTTTGCTATATGGTGACATCCCCGACTCTATGATGGTACCCGAAATACGCACCCTCGAGTCTTGCGAGTCAACATGGTGTTTCGAAACTGCACAGCCTACGATCGTCATATCGTGCGTTCCCACGTCTCAGGTACTGGGCCAATTCGGAGCAGACTTCAGTCTGCCACCAGCCTGGATGCGAAGCCCGACCGAGGGCGTGGTAGTCGACCACAACTATAAGCCTATCATAACACCGCTTCTGCGTCAAGTACGCCGAGAGACTGGCCGAGGCTGGGTTGCAGTTGATGGGCTGGAGTGTCTGACGGCTCAAGCGAATGCCCAGTTCGAATTATTTACAGGCCGGCGTCCGCCACAGGGCTTGATACGTGTTGCAGTTCTCCGGGACTATGGCACCTCAATGACGATGACGAGGAGGCACGTGCAATGGTAACAGGTAGGTTGGCACAGGTTCAAGATCAGGAGCGACTTGAAATAGCAGAGGCGCTGCCCATGAATTCTCAACATTGAGATGTGTGCCCTATATTTGTCGCATAGGCAGGCGAGACGGCAATATCTCACAATAAGACCGGTTTGCCTGTTTCAGCAAGAAGTATGGCGTAATTTGTAACTGGGGAGTTTTAAAGAAGTCAATGAATACCACTAGCACGACACTGAGATGTTGCTGCTCAATTGTAGACCCATGTCTACATGTTGAAGCTATAGATAGCTAAGCTACGTTTAATTTTCAATGACAACACAGTGGCAAAGAACTCCCTAATATCTTCAAGCCACAACTCTGGACAGGTTATGGCAGGAAAATGACCTCCTGTCTTATGCTTTCTGAAGAACTTAAGATTGTTGTCTCGTCTAACCCATTCCACGGGCTGTTCGAAGTTCAGTTGTGCTTACCCACAGTACATCAGAGGTCAGGGAATTTCTTACCGCAAAGACGACATTAGATACGGCAGGAAACGGGCCATTAGGCCAAACCCATTTAGAAAGACCGAATGGAACTTCTGTTCTGGGGAATTCCCGATTTCTGGCTTGACGGTCGTCAGTATCATAGCATTCGATTGATTGGTCATTGGATAGTGGTTAGGATGCTACAAACTACATACCTTGAAACACTCCGAGTAGAACCGAATATTAGCATATGGACCAGGGATCCACAACACCATGGTGTCAGTGATCAATTCCTCGAAGTCATAGGCATAGCCGTCGCTCGTAGAGTGGTTAACATCCCACAACCAGCCAAGAAATCCAACGGGCCTATCACCCAGTGACAGAGCCAATTGCTTCGGCTTACGAGAATGAGCCAGTGCATACGTCCAATGTTTTTCAAACCATGCACCAATGGAATCAATGTAGGCTTTCCCCTCTGCGGTAAGGTTTCCTGAGCCCGTTATAGCATCAATGGCAGTGGGTTGATACAGGTAGAAGTCACTGAAATGACCCAAGATTGATTCCCTGACATCGGCCGTCATCCGCATTCCAACAAACCAGCCAAGATCTGTGCTCACAATACCATAGCGCGGGTAACCCAGCGTCTGCATCAGGGAATTAAACGTCCGTCCCATCTCTCGAGGACCAAGGCCGGACTGCGTAGGCGCCGGGCTGAAACTATACCCCGGAAGATCCGGAGCTACAACATGAAAAGAAAGCTCGGAATGTTCTGCGAGAGGCTTCATGGCCTTTCTCCACTCAAGGTTCGTAGATGGCCAGCCATGGAGCACCAGAAGCGGAATTGCATTGGGGTCAGATGAGCGCTGATGAATAAAATATAAAGGTAAGTCTACTTCATATGTGCCGCTGCCGGAAATGGTGATTGCATAATGGTCAAACTCACTGTTCAACTTGTCTTCCACTGCCCTCCAGTTATAAGACTTGTTCCAATAATGAGAAACGTCAGTGATTGCAGATGTTGCAGGGCCTTCGTAATTAATGCGAAACTTCTGTGGAAAATAGCCGCTTGGAAAATGGAAATTGAGTTGATTCTCGGCGGAAATGGCTTGCCTGGACATGGTAACAATCTTAGCAACTGATATTGTATTTTGAGGTACTGCAAATGAGTACAAAAGGTTATGAACAATCAATCTCTCTGACATATAAGCGTGATAAGACCGCTCTAAGGAGAGAAATATATCTTGAACAGCGGACCGGACGGGCCCTTCATCAATATCTCAAGTTCGACAGTTAGGAAACTAAGAACTATTGTATGCCTGAGCAAGCTAGACTTCGTAGGGCAGATCAGGGGCTTAAAATTTCTAGGGACATATTGCTGGGCTTGTATAAGTTAGTTGCCTACACGTTAAGTGGGAGTGTCCGTTACCAAGGGAAAGTAATCCAGTAAATCCAAGTACGGCCTACATTCTGAACCGAATTGCTAGGCCAATATTGAGCCATTGCAACACGCAAGTTTATATAATGTGATATAACAGGTTGGGTTTTGTTATCTCCTACGGCTCAGGAGTATTTTTCTTTTTATGCAACAAGCTGCAGTTCGTCAATCAGAGTCATGTGGATCGATTAGGGGAGCAAATTTCTGTATACAACCGG